TTCAAACTCACAACCTCCTGATGTCGGGATGAATTATTAGACTGCTGCACCACATGAAACTATGACATGCTTTAAAGTTAAAACAACTCCAGCTGTATTATCACTAAACGACGACTCCAATTTAAATTTAACAGGGAAACAAAGGAAGATGTGGCTCGCTGGTTTAACATCGCTAAAAAAAATCACTGCACAGAGGCGGCTCCACCCACATCATCTAAGTGTACGACATTGGCTATTTCAGCTGCATGACATAGTTATGTTGGAACTGGCCACAGCCAGGATTAATAAAGTTAGCACATCTACTCTTTAGACATGGAAACAGATTTGTTGTGATGTGATGAAAAGATTGGATCGTACAGGCTTATCTTATATTGTTTTATTTTTTCCCTTCAGTTCTGTAATGTTGTGATAAAGTGCGGCTTGATTAACAGGAAACAAATAAAAAAATGATCACAAAAAAAATATAATGGTATTAATAAATAAATGTCATTACCACCAAAAAAAATGTGTTCCTGGGTGGTGCAGTGGACTAAGCCGTCACCTCAACAGGTGGATGTAAAGAGGAAAAATGTCCAGCAGGACTGTGTGATGGAAAGAGTCCTGGCTAGTGGGGAAGATGAGTGTAAAAAACGAGTTTATTTTATTTACCATAACTAAAACGCAGAACTAAAAAAATAAAATAACTTTCGACTCAACTAAAGTTTGAGTTGTGTGAACTCTTGTGTCCTCAAGTTGTCAACTCAAGAAAAGCCATATTATTAGTTACTATAACATTTTGTGTTGAGCTGACCTCTCTCTGACCTCTCATTTTTAACCGTGAAATCATAAATCATACCAAAAAATCTACTTGAATTGACTTTTGAGCTTTGATATTGTTACTGAATTGAAGCAGAGATCAGAGGTTTACACCTCTGACTGGAGCAGATGAGTCAGAGCAGCAGAGTAAGTCTTAAACCGTGGAGCTCTGCAGCGCTGCAGTCTGATGCATGCGTCTTCAGACGGACGCTGTAAAGCCTTAGATGGAGAGGTAAAAGCCGTCATGTGGCTTTTGCAGGTTCTAATGGGGGAGGACTGAAAGAACAAGGCCTTCAGCGCTGTAGTCTGGTCAGCTCTGTCCAATTAAAGGCTATTTTCTTGGCCTTCGCTATAGGGAGGACCTCTGCTGTGCACTTTACAGTGACAGCTGACTCGGGAGGTGTCTAATTACTCATGTCTTTCTTTCATTTCCTCTTCCCTCTGCTTCTTTCACTCACTCCTCCCTTCCGGAGTTCCCAGGTCAGGAGTAGATCACGTGTGAGCAGAGAGAGAGAGAGAGAGAGACGGAGGGTGATGCAAAGAGGCGTCTCAAACAAAGACCAGTGTTGGTGTTTTGAAGAGGAAAAATAACAGAGAGAGAGAGAGAGAGAGAGAGAGACATAGACAGAGCAGAGAGATTGCAGGGTTGTACCGCCAGACAGCATAAGACCGTTTCCAGCTGACGTCTCTCGACACCACATTTGCATTCTCGCCGTGATCAAAGCCCACCACCACCCGCATATGCGGAGCAAGTGTCAGACTTATCCTTTTACCCATCCTCTCATCATTCCACTGCTTCCCTCCCTCCTCTCTCCCTCTCTCTCTGCCCTCTCCTGAAGCACTCTGATAATTACCGAAAAAGGCATCGCACCTTCAGGCCTGGAAAGAACTCCAGAGGCTACGTGTTAATGGTTGGCGTGCCGAACGTGCTTTGCTTAAGAGAAGCCGACTGCAGCCAGAGCGATTCAATCAATTAGCCACCAGGAGTCTGTAGTTCTGCTCCATCTTTGGTAATGATTGCTCGTGGCGAGGTAGACGAGGCCTTGTTTCTGTCCTCCGTATCTCCTCTGCAGAGCTTGGAGGCTCTTCTGAAGCTTCTCACAGAGCTTTCTCGGTACTGAGGGTCAGATTTTTCCTTGTCTACACCAAAGTGTCTACAGAAGAGCCCTGCTGGTCCAGGAGATGCTGTGCACTAGGGGTGGGCGATATGGCAAAAACAGGACATTGCGATACTTAACACTCGATATTTAGTTTTACTGAGGTTTGATAAGTTGGAACGTACAAAAAGATGAACACGCTGACTTTTATTAAACATTTCATCTACTGTACTTTGAGAAATCCAGTAAAGTAGGACTTATAATGCTGTCTTTAATGACACATGCATATCGCTGCTGTCGGAGCAAAACCTTCAAAATGGTAACTTTACAGGAGAAGGAAAAAACATACCTTACTCATCATGTAGGTCAATGGAACCCGACATTTTTTCAAGTAATTTTATGCCGTTTCTTTTGGTCCATTCATCATGAAACTTACACACAATGTAAAGGACAATGGCTATCTCCAAATTTTGTCAAAAACTGAAAACAGTGGAGATACAAGGTTTTGTTCCAACAGCAGTGACATCCATAATAGGCATAGAAAAGCATATTATAACATAATGTGGCACAATTTATCTCATAATGCTGGATATTGCTATTATAGTGCCCACCTACAGACAATGGTTCTGTATAGAACCCTTAAAAACACTCATAATAACGATTTGCATGATTCAAGGCTTCTTTGCATTGCATTTGCATTGGTGAAATGGTTCTTCAGACTGATTAAAAATGTGCTGTATATGGTTCTAAAAGCGTTCTATATTGAGGGTTCAAAAAGGGCTCTGTTATTGTTACAGTGTCAAGCTTGTCACACCACAACCTCTTTGGTGCTATATAGAACCCTTTTCAAAAAGGTTCTATACAGAACCATCTACTGCACATTCTCTATCAAGCTGAAGAACCTTTTAATGGAGCAGTTCTTTGAGTGTTCATGGTTCTATATAGAACTATTGTCTTTACTAAAGAACCCTTGAAGAAGCAACTTGTTTTGAAGTGTGAATGTTTGTACATTTCAATGAGTAAAAACTGTTTATTTTGATCTAAAGAGCATTTCATTCTAATTAAACCCAAACAAATTGAATGGAAATGTTCCTGTTTTGTTCTTTCAACAGTTGAATATTATATTAAGGTAACAGTGTGTATACTGACTTTATGTGATTGAAAGGAAATGTGTGGTGTAATCAAATTAAGTTCATACAGAGATTTATTTGTTTGAGTGTAGAGTAACTTTAGCTGTGCTACAGCAGCTACACTGTTAGTAATAAAGGTTCTGTTCAGGTACGTTTTTCATTCATTAAGGTACAAACAGTGTAAATGTTCCCTCAAAGGTACAGCAGTGGTTTTAAGGTCCAGTTGTGAACCTAAAATAAGTTAGGCTAAGATATTATCTAATGTTAACTAATGATATTAGCTATGATATTTCGTAGCTAGCAGTGTTAAAACATCTGATGCTGTTGATCTTTCTAGCAAATCAGATGTTCATCTGTTCAAACCTCCAGTGCCTCAGAACTTATTACACTCCACCAATCCCAACAGTGAGATGTGAAAAACTTCTTTTCATTTGATTAAGTTTGATATTTGATCGTCTTCCTCATCCTCTGTACTAGATAATCACATTAGACACTGGCTGTATTTACATGCAAAGATTTTCGCCAATCCGACTGAATACATTCCAATTATAGATTCAGACTGAGGTGTTTATATGCACTGTACTCAACAATCTGTTGGCACATCTCCATTTACATGCTCACTACAAGTAATCTGAATTTGACGCGCATGCGTAGAGAAGCGCTTATTGTAGACGTTACCATAACAACCAGCATCACGTGAGTCCAGTCAGAGTGAGATGAGCAGCAGTGAGCAGTGCTTGTGTTTTTAATCACTTTAAAATGATGTCAGACTCAGGAAAACGTCCTTCACATGTCCTTATTAAAGAAGGCCGAGAGGAAGACGTCGTGTTCTGAGACACATAAGCTGGACGTCCGTCCCACCGCCGTCTTTTGAAGATCAGAGCATAAACTTCGTCTCCTCTGCAGACCAGTTTCTGCTCCGCCATGTTGAACGGTATAAACTTTCACTATGACGCGACGAACATGATCAGAACGGACTTAAACTTTCCGATAGGGAATGTAATCAGATACAGACGTTTACACGGATATTATTCTTCTATTTAACTGATTATTTACAGGATTACCCTACCTCGTTCAGTCGGGTAGAAATTGTATTCCGAATGGCCTCAATCAGACTAGACTATTCTGATCGAGGTGTTTACATGGACGTATTCTTTTCCGATTGAGCTGTTAGTCGGATTATTAATGGATTATTAGGCTGCATGTAAATGTGCTAATGTTGAACATCTCAATCCACAAATATCCAGTTAGCTAGAAAGTCCAGTTCCAGTTAACCAGTTCCTAATTTTATTGACAACAACATCATAAAAACCTCTTAACAAATACAGTGGAGGCTTATAAAATTCTCTGTTTATCTGAGGGCCGATAGAGGGTCCTCCACAGTAGAGGTCTGCACTCGCGTAGATTCCTGGACACCCAGCCCACTGCACGCGGGAGTGGGCCGAAGCATGCATGAAGAAAAATCCCACCAATTAGTGAACAGCCTAAATAAAGTAGAACGAGCACTATATATATAGACACACACAGAATAACACAGAAAACACGCAGATTCTCGTAGCTCACATAGACAGCAGAGGGCCTTCAGTCCGACGGCCACAGCTGCCCAGCAAAACACCGAAACTAACCGGTCTGTTATTAAATTCCTGCTTTGTGTTTACTGAGAGTAAACAGTGTTTGGTAAAGTTACTTCACAGTGAGCCTGATGACCATGACTGACCTGTTATTTCAGCGGAGAGTAATGTGAATAGACTGTGTCGGATATTGGATGTCAGTTTACTTTGATGCAACTGCACGGGCGGGAGTGGGACAAAACGTTTTGGTTGCGGGCGGGAGTGGGACAAAACGTTTTGGTTGCGGGCGGGAGCGGGACAAATGATTCTGATTTTCTTCGGTTCCGTGGGCTTTATCAGTGCATGATGTCCTGTAAAGTGTAAGTGTAACTTTAGACTGGCTCTTCTATGAATATTTGACCCCACAGATGATCACACTCGAGTCCGGCTGCAGGCCCTGGAGGGAGACCCCCACTCAGACTACATCAACGCCAACTACATAGACGTGAGTATGGAGCTTTCGCGACTAATGTACACGATGTATAACCTAAAATCTTACATAACCGCAATACTGTTAGCATCTAACTGTTAATATGATCCTGAGAGTGAAACTTGCTGGGACAGGTGATGTGAAATTACACAATAAGCAAGTTATTGTTGACCCCTTAAATGTCCAAAGCCCCCCAGTGGGCCCAAAGTCTTATTACACACTTCAGTAATCTAAAAAAGCTCAGCCAGTTTGCACTGAAGTCCCTGTAGTTACTGGATAATAAGCCTTAGTATGTAATAACCCTCCTATTACTTATTTCTAATGTTTATAAAACACTTTATATGGATTAAGGGGCAGAGAGTATAACTGACTGAGTAAAGTTCAAGTGGAGTAGAGTTGTTTTTTTTTTCTTCATTCAAAATATTAACCCACATGTTAAAAAGAGTTTTCCTTTGTGTTCCAGAGATTCTAATGCTGCGAGTATAAAAATAAAATATCCTATTAAGTTTATTAAATATAATAAGAAGTCTTTTTTATCCTTCAAAATATTTTCCTTCTTTTGATCTAATCAAAACCCAGACTGAACATTATATTATGATGGAAAATGCACATAATTTTCTGTAGAAGACTCTGAAACAAGCCAAACTCTTATTTATTAGTCATCCTCATAACAGAGGGAACATCACTAAGATGATAAAACAATGTTAAATATGTTCTTTTGGGATCCGCAGGACCTGAAACACAACGTGAAGGTTGAATACTGTCATTTTGACCATCAGAATGCACAATTAAAAGTGCGGTTCCTGCAAGTAAAAAAGTGAAAGAGCTTTTAATCTGTTATATTTCAGCATTTCGTATGTGTTAAAATATAACTGTGCAGTAAAACCTCTTGAACACTTTCGAGCCGTTTGTAAACACTTCAGGCTGTTAGCAACTCACCACTTACATCTAACTGCAAACACATCGTCTGCAGACTGTCCAGATATTAATGATAATAAAATCATACAGGGAAATACTCACTCATGATTTCTGCATGGCTGCATGATGAAAGGGTTCCTCAGATTGATGGGGAAATGTGCTATAGATGGTTCTATATAGAATCTTTTTGAAAAGGGCTCTTTATAGAACACAAAAGGGTTCTCCTATCATTACAAGCTTGACATTGTAACGATAGAAGAACCCTTTTGGGTGCTAAACAGAACCCTTTTCAAAAAGGTCTTATGTAGAACCATATTCAACACATTCTGAAGAACCCTTTCATGATGCAAGAGCCCTTTGATCATGCAAAGGATTCTATGAGTGTTCGAACCCTAAAAGAACCACCTTTTTTAAGAGTGTAATTAATGATATTTCGTTCGTCACTCACCAGAACAGTGTAGAGTAGAAATGAATTCATTGGTTGCAAGAAACTTGAGGAAGACCAGGGGAATCTTATTCTTTCTCTTCTTTCTAAGTAGGTTATTGTGAGCCCACAATATACACTCCTTAAAAAGATGGTTCTTCAAAGGTTCATTAGTGAAGACAATGGTTTCTGTCCATTTGCATGTTTGAATGGTGAAATGGTTCTTCAGATTGATGGAGAGTGTGCTTTATATGGCTCTATATGAAATCTTTTTGAAAAAGATTATTGTTATATATATATATATATATATATATATATATATATATATATATATATATATATATATATTTATTGTTATATTATTATTGTTATTGACATTATAACGATAGAAAAACCCTTTGTGGTGCTATACAGAACACCTTTCAAAAAGGTTCTATATGTAACCATTTACAGCACATTCTCCATCACTCTGAAGAACTGTTTCACTAGGCTAGGAACAATTAAAACATATAAAGTGTTCTTTGAGTGTTCATGGTTCCATATAGAATGATTGTCTTTACTAAAGAACCCTTGAAAGACCATCTTTTTCAACATTGACCAAACATTATGTACCTAAATATTACTCATTTATGTGATCAGACTGAGCTGTGGAGCAGCTGGCTTTGTGAGGTGATTAGCTAAGAGGTCATCGCTGCACAGTGTAACTGTAATAACATTACAGTTAAAGACGAAAGACGAGAGCCACAGAGTAATAAACACAGCGTGAGTGTAATTAGACGTGTTCTTACAGGGCAGCGTTCCAAAGGTTTGAGAACACTGCAGAGCCCTGAAGGAGTTTTTGTTACAGTCAATGAACAGCTTTTTACTCAGACAGACAGACAAACAGACACACAGACATGGTCGTCTCACAGCACGTACGGTACCGTTTAAAAATCTGGAATCATTTGTCTTAATAATTTTGTTATTCTTTCTAAAACACTATTATTAAACACTGTTTAATACGACATAAATAGTATAAATTGAAATATTATTACCTTGATATCCCAAAGTGCTTTTAGGTGTTTTGTTTAGTATTTCAAGCAATTTGGGAATAACAAGAGGGTTATTAAATGATACATAATGTAATTTACATTAACCCCTTAAAATCTCAGGCTTATTACATACTAATGCTTATTATTCAGTAACTACAGGGACTTTAATGCAAACTAGCTGAGCTATTTTTAGATTATAGAAGTGTGTAATTAAACTTTAAGCCCATCGTTTAAGATAATCTTATCACTTTTCAAGTATGAAGCATTCTAAATATTTATTTTTATTAAAACTATATTCTGTATGTGCCAAGATTCCTATGAATGATGTGAAATAGTCATTAAGTACACGTTATACATTTTTTACTATCAGGAAAAAGCAGAAAACAACACAGAAGCCTCACCAGCTAAATCTACTCTCAGCTGTGTGAGTCAGAGAGTCACTCTCTCCCTTTATTCCAGCTTCCATTCTGTTCAGGAGACTCACTTTCAGTTCCTCAAAGAATCTGCAGACTCACCTCCAAAGTTCAGTCTTAGAAGCTGGTTGATCATTTTCTGAAGTAATCAACACATTCAGTGGTGTTGAGGTCTGGACTCTGGGGTGGTCAGTCCATCGTTCAGCTTCTTTGTTTGATGTGTCCGTCTCCTTTTCTCAGTGAGGTTCTTCTTGACAGCTACACATCCTTTCAGACCCACAGCGCTGAGTCGTCTTCTCACAGTGGAAGGATGGACAGAAACACCTGTGGATGTTTTCAGATCTGATCAGCTTGATTTTCTCCTCTCTCTCAGAGATGAAAGCTTTAAGTGCTGTTTATCTGATGGGGGCAGTTTTGGGGTCTACCAGGCCTTCCAGGTGGTTGTTAGGAACCACATTCTTAAATATGATGGTTGTCCAAGGGTTCTTTAGTAAGGAAAATGGTTCTATATAGAGCCATGAACACTTAAACAACGCTTTGCATGATTAAATGGTTCTTTGCATCATTAAAATGTTATTTAGATTGATGGTGAATGTGCTAAATGTTCTTTATATAACCCTTTCACGATGCAAAGAAATGTTAATCATGTAAAGTGTTCCATATAGAACCATTTTCCTTACTTGATAACCCTTGAAGAACCATCTTTCTTAAGGCCCAATCCCATTTCTTATTTTTACCCCTACCCCTTGTTTTCGAGTGTCACCCTAACTCCTTGGAACTGAGTTACAGGGTAGTGGTTGAAATCTTCCCTCTGAAATGGGACCCTCAAATAAAAACAGCATCACTTCATTAACAGCTACCAGCGCTGCTCTGTAGGCGACCCTGCCAGTCTGCAGTGACAGCAGAGGAGGGTAAAGTTCAGCTCCTCACTGCGGGGCTTTAGTTACATTTAGGGACTCATATGCCTTCAAAGAGGGGGGCAATTATTTATTATCACCCACCCCTAATTCTTCAGTAATATGAAGCTGAAGTCAGTTATTCACCAGCTTCTTGTTCAAATTTTCCCTGTTCCACCTTAAATGGAGCAGCAGTTACATTCTGGCGCTTCAGGCGTCAGAACTGCTGGACTATTTAAGGTGGAACAAGAAAGTTAGCCAGCTAGCTACCAAGACATTAGCATGCTATTAGCGATTTTTTATGCTTGTTATGAAGAAAACGACCATAATACACTGAAACAACATTAAACTAAGATAAAACAATGGTTATTGTAATTTTTAACAGAGAAAATTCTCATATTTGCATGTTTCTTTGGTCTCTTGTTCGCCATCTTGCCGTTTTTTCTGTCTTTACTCATAACTCTCTGTTTGGAGTCTCTGAAAAACCTCCGTTTGGAGGGCCATGTAGCCCCAACACTTCACCCTACCCCTCTATCTCAACAAGAACTGGGACACCCTACCCCTAGACATGAATATGCAAAACAGAGGGCTAAGGGCTCAGTGGTAGGGGCGAGGGGTGAAGTGTGATTGGGCCTGAGTGTGCACTTTTTCACTTTCTCCTTATATCTAATCTCATCACAAATGTCTCCTGAAAAATACTCAGTGGGTAAAAACTGAATGAAGCGTGGTCTTTAACATTTGCGCAGTACTGTATCTGCCCACTCACTCTTCCAAACCCTGACAGAGTCAGGCCTGCACTCAGGAACATGACTGCTTGTATATTTGCGCATTTTTTCTTAGCCCGTGCGCTGTATCTACTCTACACACTGTCACTCTGTATAAAAAGCCCATCTAAGCCCTATAATGATGCTGTCGATATGATTGTAGCCTATTACACTATGGAGGCGAATAGGCATAAATACATCGCGCTCGGTGCCACACAGATGCAAGCGATTGCTTTCGCCGCCGGATCTATAATCACGTCGCTCTGCATCACTGCAGCTAATAAAACGATTACCGGCTCTGTGGTGCAGTGGATTCACTCGTAACACTGACCGATGTGTTCTTGTGTGAGCGAGCTGAGCGACGGTGATCGTTAATGTGTTTCCCTCTGGCTCAAACGCTGTGGAGAGTCAGAGCGAGTGACATTTAGATGTGACTGAGGCAGAACGTTATGAAGGACTATGTAATTCCCGTAACGCTGTAATGGTCTCAGAGAGCCTCAAGCAAAGCTAAATGGGCAGCACTTTAGTTTACAGTATGGTAAGTATCAGGTATTTATTTAGTGTAGATTAATATGTAGTAATCACATGTAATTCGATATTGAATTAAATTATGTTGTAATAACGTTGGTAAATTGCCTATTTTGGAATATGTAATTATATAACGATGAATGTAATGATTGCATTGTAGCACCAAATACCACTGTACATAACTGATATATATATAGACTATATATTTACACATATTTACATATTTACCCATTAAATTATTAATTTTTTTATATTATTTACTAATGCAACCTGCCCTTTACATTGTTTGGATATTTAATGGTAAATTAAAAGTTAAACCAGCCGAGGCTTCATCGCTACACAAGATAATAAAGCAGATTTGAGAGAAGCACAAATTGTTTAATATCTGAATATACTAAAATAATTGTTTTGCGGTTTAGCAGTTACTCTCTGGGCATACCGCATTTTTCTTCTGCGCTCTAAAGTCATCTGGCGTCTCATTTAAATTTATATAAATGCCATCATTCAGCCATGAATTGAAAATAGATGTGAGTTATCCATGTGAATCTTTTAGCTAGTGTACAGACTGCATTTGCTTAAACTAATACAAACATACACTATGTGGACAAAAGTATTGGGACACCTGCACATCACACCTACAGGAGCTTTTATGAATCCCATTCTAAATCCATGGGCATTAATATGGAGCTCTAACAGCTTCCACTCTTCTGGGAAGCTTCTACAAGATGTTGGAGAGTCTGTGGGAATTTTTGTCCATTCATCCAGAAGAGCATTTGTGAGGTCAGACACTGTTGCTGGACGAGAGGGCCCGGCTCACAATCTCCATTCTAGTTCATCCCAAAGGTGTTGATGGGGTTGAGGTCAGGGCTCTGTGAGGGTCAATCAAGTTCTTCCACACCAAACTCACCCAGTCAGGCTTTATGGAGCTGCTTTGTGCACTGGGGCTCAGTCATGCTGGAACAGGAAAGGTTCTTCCCCAAACTGTTCCCACAAAGTTGGAAGTGCACAGTTGTCCAGAATGTCTTGGTGCTGAGTCATTAAGATTTCCCTTCACTGGAACTAAGAGTTCTAGACCAACCCCTGAAAAACAGCCCCATATCATCATCCCTCCTCCACCAAACTCTACAGCTGGCACAGTGCAGTCAGGCAGGTAACGTTCTCCTGGCATTCGCCAAACCCAGACCCGTCCGTCAGACTGACAGACAGAGAAGCGTTCCCACTGCTCCAGAGTCCAGTGGTGGAGCTTTACTCCACTCCATCCGATGCTTGTCGTTGTGCTTGGTGATGTAAGGCCTGCATGCAGCTGCTCAACCATGCAAATCCTGCCATGAAGCTCTCGACGCATTTTTTGTGCTGATGTTGATGCCGGAGGAGGTTTGAACTCGGCAGTTATTGATCAGCAGAGTGCTGGTGTTTTTTATCCTCTGTGCTCCTCAACACTCGGCGACCCGCTCTGTTACTTTACATAGTCTGACATTTCATTCCTGAGCTGCTGTGGTTCCTAAACGCTGCCACTTTTCAATAATACAGTCACAGCTGGTCGTGGAAAATCTAGGAGGGGGAAATTTTGCAGACTGACTTGTTTGAACAGTGGCACCATCCTATTACAGCACCACACTCGAGTTCAGTGAGCTCTTTAAAATTCTCTCACTGATGTGTGTGAAGGCAGGCTGCGTGGCTGGGTTCTTGATTTTAAACACCTGTGGCAAAGAGACTGAATGAAACACCTGAATTCACTGATTAAGAGGTGTGTCCCAATACCTTTATCCATATAGTGTACTTCAGTCATGGTTGTCAATCATGAGTTTATTTTGTGTTTATTTGATATAAGGCGTGAAGTAGATTAGAACTGTTAGAGCTGGATTAGTTTCATCTGGGGAGCTGCTGTGATCTGAGTGATTACAGACGAGATCTGTGATTTTAATCCAGTATGAATCTGCATTGCTTTTACTAAATTTATTCTAATGCTTTCTTGATGTTTTTACTGGCCCAAACATACATATTGCCCAGACAAATGGCTTTAAACCATGTGCTTTTGCACAGTATGGAATCTTTAGTAAAGGCAGTGGTTCTATGTAGAACCATGAACACTCAAAGAACCCTTGGTAACACTTTACTGTAGGGTACTATCCATAAGGCTGACATGACACCTACATAATCTTGTCATATCAGATGACATAACCCTACATAAGTGTTTATATATACTTATTCCAATAGGCGTCATTCATTATAAAGGTTACATTTGCCGGTTTTGATCAAAGTTAGCTAAAGTAGTGTTTATGACAGATGTCGCCTATTGGAATAAGCGTTTATAAACATTTACGTAGGGCTATGTCAGTTGTCATGACAAGCTTATGTAAGTGTCATGTAGCCTTATGAACAGCACCCTACAGTAAAGTGTTACCGAACCATTTGCATGCTTAAATAGTTCTCTGCATGGTGAAATCGTTTTTGTATGTTTTGTATATATGGTTCTTGAAGATCTTCTGTATAACACCATAAAGGGTTCTTCTATTGTTACCATGTCAAGCTTGTGACAATAGAAGAACTCTTCTTGGTGCTCTGTAGAATCCTTTTAAAAAGGTGCTGTTTAGAACCATCTACAGCACATTCTCCATCAGTCTGAAGAACCATTTCACCATGCAAAGAACACTTTAAGCATGCAAATGGTTCTTTGTGTGTTTAAAGTTCTATATAGCAACATTGTCTTTACTGAAGAACCCTTAAAGAACTATAATTCTCAGGTGTACAATATATACACAGATCAGGCATAACATTATGACCTTGTTTCTATGCTCATTGTCCATTTTATCAGCTCCACTTACTATATAGGTGCACTTTGTAGTTCTACAGTTACAGACTGTAGTCCATCTGTTTCTCTGATACTTTGTTAGCCCCCTTTTACCCTGTTCTTCAGTGGTCAGGACCCCCATGGACCCTCACAGAGCAGGTACTATTTGGGTGGTGGATCATTCTCAGCACTGCAGTAACACTGACGTGGTGGTGGTGTGTTAGTGTGTGTTGTGCTGGTCTGAGTGGATCAGACACAGCAGTGCTGCTGGAGTTTTTAAACACCTCAGTGTCGCTGCTGGACTGAGAATAGTCCACCAACCAAAAACATCCAGCCAACAGCGTCCTGTGGGCAGCGTCCTGTGACCACTGATGAAAGACTAGAGGATGACCAACACAAACTGTGCAGCAGCAGATGAGCTATTGTCTCTGGCTTTACATCTACAGGGTGGACCAACAATGCAGGTGCATCTAATAGAGTGGACAGTGAGTGGACACAGTGTTTAAAAACTCCAGCAGCACTGCTGTGTCTGATCCACTCAGACCAGCACAACACACACTAACACACCACCACCACGTCAGTGTTACTGCAGTGCTGAGAATGATCCACCACCCAAATAGTACCTGCTCTGTGAGGGTCCATGGGGGTCCTGACCACTGAAGAACAGGGTAAAAGGGGGCTAACAAAGTATCAGAGAAACAGATGGACTACAGTCTGTAACTGTAGAACTACAAAGTGCACCTATAAAGTAAGTGGAGCTGATAAAATGGACAATGAGTGTAGAAACAAGGATGGTCATAATGTTATGCCTGATCGGTGTAGATGTTACAGTTATCAGGAGATGGATAGAGTGTTTGAAGTCATGTTTGAGTTATGCAGGAATGTAAAAATGTCCCTGTGAAATAAAAAGCCACCACTAACAGAGAGATTTTGTTCTAATAAACCTGAACTCCTCGATCCTTATTCATAACGCGAAGGCATTGTGGGTAACGTGACCTCCTTCTTTTCTTCTGCTCCGCAGGGTTACCACCGGCCGAGGCATTACATCGCTACGCAAGGTAATTAAAGCAGATTTTACAGAAACTCTCTGAAAGCCGCATTCAGACAAGGACGAGCAGCTAAGAGCCAAAAGAAGCAGCTTCCTGCAGCCATACAGACGCGCTCAGTCTCCTGTCTAATTGGCGGTGGGCGTAGGGGGATGGAGATGGTTTGATATGGTGCTAAATTTGTCCCTTTTCTATCCTCCCGTAGGACCCATGCAGGAGACGGTGAGAGATTTCTGGCGGATGATTTGGCAAGAGAACTCCGCCAGCATCGTCATGGTAACCAACCTGGTGGAAGTGGGCAGGGTGAGCTTTCATGTGTTTATTACAGAATTTAAAAAGACTCTTATTTTCATTTTGTTTTCCATTCTCTGTGTGTGAAGCTCTATTGATAGAACAGAGAACAAGTCACAAATATCATAGACGTCACTCTTAACAAAGGTGGTTCTTCAAGGGTTCTTTAATAAAGAAAATGGTTCTATATAGAACCATGAACACTCCAAGAACCCTTTGCATGACTAAATGGTTCTTTGCATGGTGAAGTGGTTCTTCAAATTGGTGGAGAATGTGCTGTAGATGGTGCTATTTAAAACCTTTTTGAAAAGGGTTCTATGTATTGTCACAATATTGTCATTGTCATAATAGCAGAACCCTTTTTGGTGCTTCATAGAACCCCTTTCAGAAAGATTCTATATAGAACTGTCCACAGCACACTCTCCACCAATCTGAAGAACACTTTTACGATATGAAGAACCCTTGAATCATGCAAATAGTTTTTTGGATGTTCATGGTTCTACATAGAACCACTTTCTTTACTAAAGAACCGTTGAAGAAACATCTTTTTTAACCCTTTGTATGATTAAATCGTTCTTTGCATCATGGAAGAATTCTTCAGATTGATGGAGAATGTGCTGTAAATGGTGCTATATAGAACCTTTTTGAAGAGGGCTCTATGTAGCACCAAAAAGGTTATAGGCTTGATATCGTCACAATAGCAGAACCCTTTTTAGTGCTTCACAGAACCCTTTTCAAAAAGATTAAAAAGAACTGTCCACAGCACATTCTCCATCAATCTGAAGAACACTTTTACGACGTAAAGAACCCTTGAATCATGCAAATGGTTTTTGGATGTTCATGGTTCTACATAGAACCACTTTCTTTACTTAAGAACCCTTGAAGAACCATTGTTAAGTGTGTAGAAGCCTTGTCGGGAGGGCAATATAATGATATTTAGCACTGTGAGATAAATTGTGCCACATTATGTCTCAATATACTTTTCTGAGCTGGTTCTTCAAGGGTTCTTTAGCAAAGAAAATGGTTCTATATAGAACCATGAACACGCGAAGAATGCTTTGTATGATTAAACAGTTTTTTGCATGGTGAAGTGGTTCTTTCGAATTGATGGAGAACATGCTGTAGATGGTGCTATGTAGTACCTTTTTGAAAAGGGTTCTATATAGCACCGAAAGGGTTACAGGCTTGACATTGTCACAAAAAGGTTCTGTATAGAACTGTCTACAGCACATTCTGCATCAATCTAAAGAAGACTTTCAAGATGCAAAGAACCCTTTAATCATGCAAAAAGTTTTTTTGGATGCTTATGGTTCTATATAGAACCACTTTCTTTACTAAAGAACCCTTGAAAGAAATATCTTTTTTAAGCGTGTAGGTCGGCAAAATAATGATATTTAGTATTATGAGAGGTTCTGCCACATTATGTCACAATATGCATTTCTGAGCTGGTTCTTCAAGGGATTCTAAAGAAAGTGGTTCTATATAAAACCATGCGCACTCAAAGAACCCTTTGCATGACTAAATGGTTCTTTCCATCATGGAAGAATTGATGGAGAATGTGCTGTAAATGGTGCTATATAGAACCTTTTTGAAAAGGGCTCTATGTAGCACCAAAAAGGTTACAGGCTTGACGTTGTCACAATAGCAGAACCCTTTTTTGGTGCTTCACAGAACCCTTTTCAAAAAGATTATATTTAGAGCTGTCCATAGCACATTCTCCATCAATCTGAAGAACGCTTTTCATGACGTAAAGAACCCTTTAATCATGCAAAAGTTTCTTTGGATGTTCATGGTTCTATATAGAACCACTTTCTTTACTAAAGAACCCTTGAAGAACCATCTTTTTTAAGAGTATCTTTAACCTGCTCAGTCTGAAGACTGAATACTGGAAATTAAGCAGTATTACTAATGAAGGATGTTTATTACTACTTATAAATAACACGCCACATTAATTTGATATATGCTTGCATGAGAACTACAGAGCACCCAAATGTCTGGGCGCCCTGGACAGATCCCAGTGTTGTTGATTTTCTAAGTGTAAATAAGTTACACGTCCTCTACAGAGAGACACTTCTGCACACTTGCTGTTTATTTGCTGAAATTAGCACATTGCAAAAATAAATAAAGCAAAAGTTGCAGCCTGAGCACAAGATATTGCACACTTTATATGTTATGGTTCATTTTTTCCAATATGTTAAACTCAGCAAATAAACAGATTTTAATAAACAGAAATTATGCACTAAAATTAGCAGAGAAGTGTCATATTTAATTGTGCTCTCTGCAAAGGCTGTGTTAACTTCTTTTCAGTGTTGTAGCTAGAACTTTTAGAACAGGGTGGCCAGAGATTTTATTGGGGTGATACACTGTGAGGTGTCACACCTTGTTTGCAGGTGAGTGTAGATCTGCTCCGACAAGGCCGTGGGGTATAATAAAGAGCGATGGCGAAACACAATAGCACATGGTGTTTATTTGGGGAAAGGTGTTAAAAAAAGTTGAAAAGATTATGTAAGATTCTTACAGCCCATGTGAGATTCAAAGTTATAAACCTGCTGCTAGTATAATGATATACTAAATAAAACTAAATAAAATAGTGTTGCTTTACTAAAATGGCATAAACAGTGATGGGTTGATTCTTTTAGACGTGTTCTTACAGGGCAGCGTTCCAAAGGTTTGAGAACACTGCAGAGCCCTGAAGGAGTTTTTGTTAAAGTCAATGAACAGCTTTTTACACAGACAGACGGACAAACAGACACACAGACATAGTCGTCTCACAGCACGTACGGTACCGTTTCCAAAAGTCTGGAATCATTTGTCTTAATAATTTTGTTATTCTGTATGCAATAATAACTTAAACAGTGTCAATTTAAATATTATTAATTCAACATCCAAAGGTAATTTGGGGTGTTATATTCAGTCTTTCAGCATTTTTGACATAACAAGGAGTTAAGTGGTAAATAATGTAATTTACATTAACCCCTTAAAATCTCAGGCTTATTACAAGCTAAGTCTTATTATTCAGTATTTACAGGGACTTTAATGCAAACTGAGCTATTCTTAGATTATAGAAGTGTGTAATAAAACTTTTGCCATGTAAGGGGTAAAACCTGTCCATCCTTTACACAAGAACACATGCATGATGAAATTATGTGTTTGAATCAAGTAAATCGCAGACTGCAGACAGTTTTGGGCCAATTCTGGCTTTCATACGTGAGTGTTGGTTGACTACTGGGCAGATGTTAGGCATGCAGACCAGAATAGGTCCAGATCCTGGACAATGTCATGCTGTTTGGCCCTGTGTCTATATTGGCGGACCAGTTCTGGCATGAATGTTGTGGATCAACAGTATAGTTGGGCCAGATTTGGGCCACATCCATTAGTTCTACTCACTTTACGATGTGAGGGCCAGATCTGAGCTGAGGACCCAGCTGTAAACAGGACCAGAGCAAACCCAAGGATGTGGCCCACAAGTGGGCCAGACAGTTGTTGCTATGTGAGAATTGCATCATTATTTCAGAGCACAGTTTATAAGGAAAACATCTTATTTAGACAGACCAAAGAAGTTATTCAAGTAGGCTCCCTCTCTGCGGCTGATACAGAGTCTAATGATTAGAAGCTCAGCAGACAGCACTGCATAAGAGGACCTACAACACAAGCATGTAAAAAAGTAGTTAGTTAGCATAACAGTGAGCTTATTCACCATCACAGAGCCTCCTTCACAGAGTAGCTCACAGAGCAGCTGGAGGACCCAGCACACATTCACTCACCTGTTTGCTCAGAAAATTAGTCTATTACATTATTAAATACTGTGTTCAGACTCTTACAACTGATTGGTAAATACTCTGATGGCAGATTTTCACCATAAAAGGCATTTGATGCTTTATTAATGATGGCTGACTGATGATGGTTAATGATGGTCGATCTTATTTTCCTATTATAACTTCCTCTTACACAGATCAGGCATAACATTATGACCACCTCCTTGTTTCTACGCTCATTGTCCATTTTATCAGCTCCACTTACTATATAGGTGCACTTTGTAGTTCTACAGTTACAGACTGTAGTCCATCTGTTTCTCTGATACTTTGTTAGCCCCCTTTTACCCTGTTCTTCAGTGGTCAGGACCCCCATGGACCCTCACAGAGCAGGTACTATTTGGGTGGTGGATCATTCTCAGCACTGCAGTAACACTGACGTGGTGGTGGTGTGTTAGTGTGTGTTGTGCTGGTCTGAGTGGATCAGACACAGCAGTGCTGCTGGAGTTTTTAAACACTGTGTCCACTCACTGTCCACTCTATTAGACACTCCTACCCTGTCAGTCCACCCTGTAGATGTAAAGTCAGAGACGATAGCTCATCTGCTGCTGCACAGTTTGTGTTGGTCATCCTCTAGTCCTTCGTCAGTGGTCACAGGATGCTGCCCACAGGACGCTGTTGGCTGGATATTTTTGGTTGGTGGACTATTCTGATAAAATGGACAATGAGCGAAGAAACAAGGAGGTGGTCATCATGTTATGCCTGATCAGTGTATATTATCACTCGTATTGTAATTGATCTTATATTACAACTGGGGTAGCCAGAAAGGCAGCCATGCTTCATTCTAGGATGGGTGTGGCCACCTCTGGCCACCCCTTGGCCACAATTCTGCTTATTTTCACTTATATAAATCAATAAAATCGGTCATTTAAGAATGAGTGTTTAAATGTTAGCATACAACTGTGTAATACTCAGTGTCCAGCAAAAAGAACATTAAAAAAGCACATTTATTGCCACCAAAATAACAAAACAAAGTAAGCACTGGACTATTTTGTGTTTGCTGTGCACCCTGCTGACTACGCCACTGCTGGCCCACCCTCGGACCACCCAGACTTTTGTCCTGCATGCAAGGTCTAACTAGTTTTTAATCTCCTTAACAGATTTTCAATGCACACAGTCTTTTATTTGGAAATTAAACAAGGACAAAGAATCCAGACTGCTCAGAGGAAGGCAGTGGCTTGGCCTGATATAAAATGATTTTGTTGAAAATGTAGTTGCTGATGCTGTTCTAGATTAGATATGTTCCTAAAATATGAGCTGATCTTCGAATCATAACAATAAATAAAGACTTTTATTATTTATTCAACAAAAAGTATGTACAGCAGTTTACATTACCATATCTATAATGAGCAAATGCTTCAAAGTAGGTGTGTTTAGTCCTGGTCCTGGACATCTACCACCCAGTAGTGTCAAAATCAAATCAAATCACATTTATTGTCACATCACTTTTACACAGGTGCAAGGTCAGTGAAAATCTTCGGTGCGTTGCCCCCTTGTAAAATTTAAATACAAAAAAAATATATATAAGAAGAAAAAAGAAATATATAAACACAGACTCTAAAGACACACGCATATACACAATATACACTAGTATTGCACTATTTCCAATGTAGTTCTACAGTAATAAGTTATGAATAAAACTATGATATGTACAGTTGTACACATTGCTGTATGTGCAGTTACTGAGTCTGAGGTAGATAATAAATGAGATACAGGTTCACAGGGGATAGAATACTGATATAGAATCTTCTAGATTATACAAGATATAGATAGAAGATGTCAGTCTATATGTGTAAGTATAGATTTGCTGGATTGAAGTTACAGTGAGATCAGAGTGAGTCTGTTGATGTGGATGAGGTGTGGATTGTCCGTGGAGATGATGATGATGACTCAGAGGTGCAGTAACAGGCCTATAGACCGATTCACCAGCACTCCTGGCTGTTCAGCAGCCTGATGGCCCGGGGGAAGAAACGGATGGTGACGGAGCCTGTTAGAAGCATCAGACAATTAGAACCAGGTGTGCTGGATCTGAACAGTCCAGGGTCTACGATCTCCAGGACCAAGACTGAGCATGTGTAGTTTAAAGAATCACCGTCACTGATCCAGTTGTGTTTGACTCACCCTCCAAGTCACCAACCAGGTATTTGATGGATAAAAACACACCGGCAAGTTTTACTACACACTTCTATAAGCTGAGAGTAGCTCAGCCAGTTTGCGTTGCCTGTATTTACTGAATAACAAGCCTTGGTGTATAATAAGACTGAGATTTGAGGGGTTAATATAGAGCCAGAGTTCTGTAGGAACCCATAAGTGAGTGTGGTGATGTACCTGCTGCTATAGAGCTAGAAAAAAATGTATCCGGTGTACTAGATGTTTGGAATTGGGAGATTAAATTTGCCTCTGCGTATGTTTTTATACTTGCTTCTGAATAATAATCACAGCATATTTGTGCATTTTTTCAGAAAGCTAATTAACTTTCATTAAGTAAGAATCCGTTAATTGTCTGTTTGAGCTGCAGACTCTATTTGGCGTGTAAAGGCAACGCAGTATTCATAACTTGAGCTATCTGCTGTGACAGCGCGCATAATTGACCGCTGTTTTGCGTTCCGCTCCACTGGACCTTGCCCACTCTGGGTGTTAATTCAGAGATAACACTGCTTCTGACAGGTGGCCGATTCTCTCATCAGAGCGCTTTGTGTTTCCAAATGTCATCAGCGTTGCTTTTTTTGATAACGATGGCTCTGAAAATGGCTTTTTTTGAGTGAGTGTAGTCAGTGTTGTGAAATTGGGACCCAGCCTGAGCTGGTTAAGGTCTAATTTAATGTGTGTGTGTGTCACTGTAAATGTATTGCTGTACTTGTGAGTGTAAAATGTTATCATGAGTAAAGACTTAAACTACAAGAATAGTTGAATGCTAAGGCTGGGTGATATGATAATATTTATCGTTATTGGGACATCGTGGATATCATCAGTACTTAAAAACACTTCCTAACTGTGTTTGATTACAGAGAAAACACAATTAGTCCTGATTTTTTGGATTTAGTGCAGCACAGATTGTGAAATGTTGAATTCATAGTATTTTTTTAATGCGCCGCTACTTCGTCTGTTGCAGCTTATCGTGATAACATATCATGTATCATAAAACCTTCTTGAGGTATCGTGATACTACATTTTTGCTATATCACCCACCACTATCGAATAAAATACTGTTATTTATAAAAATTACTTACAACTACTGTTGCTAGCTATGCTAGTGGACTTTAGTCCATGTTTATATATGTTTATACCGGTGAGTCAAACAGCATCAGAAACCACATAATTAAGTCTTCAGAGATACTCCACACAGTTTGTGGTGAGTGTATGATCATTTAGGTATGATGCTAATTGATGATATATAAACATATCGACATCAGCATTAGCCTCGTAGCTCCAGTGCAAAGCTAAAAGAGACAAACATTAGACACCAAATATATCCTGAGTGATAGATCAATTTGGTCAAGTGTAAACACTGAATTCATTTTTATCATGCGTTATTATCATTAGGTGATTAATGGATTTAAAAATTGATAATAATAATAATAATAATAATAATAATAGTAATATATTTGTTTAGACTGATCAGATATTGGCTGTGATTGACAAGTAGGCTGATGACAGTGCTTTAAAAGAGGTAATCGCCTTGTTGGGAAAGAGAACTGACTGAGCACTAATTTAATTTTAACCTTTTCAACTCCTTGAGACCACCGGTGGTTCCAAAACGCACTTCGTCATATTCTTCATAACTCTCATATTTCATAAGCTACATTCAAAAGGTGGGGGTCGTATGAGAGCTGTAACTGTCTTCTTTCCAGTCAAATAGACGGGTAATGTCATTTTAAACCCTTATAATAGAAGACGCTTTTTTTTTCTACTGAAAGTCGACTCATTTTTCCACAAATCTGGGCTATAAACTATAAACAGATGGCGTCTCTTCAGTGATCTGCTCTGTAAAAATTATTTTTTATAAAATAATACAAAGAACGTCTAAGATTTTTGGCTTTCAGCAGTAAATTGTAAGCATATAGCAATATGTGTATCATAAAACACATGTTCTGTTAATTAGAGGGGAGCTTTAAAAAAATAAAATAAAAATGTACATTTATTTCATGCAGTTACTAAATAATAACCTTATTTGGTCATGTAAATTCAGATGGACAAACCAAAATATACCCTGGTGAAGTAAACAGCTTGCTAATAAATATGCAATAATACACAAGAGGGAGATAACTGTGAGATATAGCCGTGGATCAATACCAGTCCCAATATCTCACAGTGTAGCACCACCTCCAGAGCATTACTAGGACACAGTTTCATTATTTGTATTTCTTATTAGATTTTGGGACAATAGAGACACAAAAACTGATTAACAAGAAAACGTATTTACACAAAATAGTCTCCATCTATGTATAATTTATATAATTATAGAGTATATAATTTACGTGAATTACATTGTTTTTTAATGGACCAGTAAATACATGTTTTTATGAAGAGTGTTTGCTCAGCCGTGCTGGCTTCATTTCTCCACCTTCCCAATCCATCTAGATTGATCATTTGGAGAATCTTCGGACCATTTGGAGCACAATTAAAGGCAGGATGGCCATTATTATCCCTTGCGTGGTGTTGATGTGTTTGTTGCTCAGTGGTCTGCTGAACCACCACATTATATTTGTTTAAATCAATAAAGCCATAACAATTTATGTAAAAATACCAGATGTTTAAAATATCACAAGTGTCCAGCGTAGGGTTCTCCTTTAGCAGCTGTAGCCAGTCAGCAGCCTGTCCATGTTGTCCACACACACACACACACACACACACACACACTAACAGCAGGCCATGTAGGAGAAGAACAGCATCAATCTCAATCAATCTGAAGAACCCTTTCTTGGTGCAAAGAACCCTTTAATAATGCAAAGGGTTCTTTGAGTGTTCATGGATCTATACAGAACCATTTTCTTTATTAATGAACCTTCAAAGAACCATCTTTTTCAAGACTGTATAAGCTGGACATAGTAACAATAGCAGAATGTTTTTTGATGCCTTATAGAACCATATACAACACATTCTCCATCAATCTGAAGAATTATTTCACGTTGCAGAGAACCCTTTTATCATACAAAGAGTTCTTTAAATGTTCATGGTTCTGTATAGAACCTTTCTATTTACAAAAGAACCATCTTTTTAAATTGCGTACCAAATACTAAGAAATTCCAAAAATTCATTTTTACATTTCAAAAATTCTACTTTTCATTCAGATTGTTATGCTGATGATAGCATTTGTAACGAAATCATTTCTTTAAATTAGAAAAGTAGAAGCATTTTCATTTGTGGCCTTAGATGTTTGGGCTCCACTGTAGCTGCTTTAAAAATAGGAAAAGTCTCTCTTCAGGGTCCAATTTCTGATTAATATTGTGATTTATCTCAGCCCTGATATCTGTGCGTATTTGTCCACTCAGGTGAAGTGTGTGCGCTACTGGCCTGACGAGACGGAGGTTTATGGCGACATCAAAGTGACTCTGATCGAGACGGAGCCTCTGGCTGAATACGTCATCCGCACCTTCACTGTCCAGAAGGTAGCGCACTCGTTTACACTCCTCTCATCCTCTCATCCTCTCATCCTCCCCTTTTTGTCTCGTAATGTGTCTGTGTTTGTTTCACCACCAGCTTGATGTGAGATCCGTTCACTTTGCACATGAAACGAAATGGCAGAAAACCATGATCTCAACTTCCTAACAGTGATTTTTTTAGTGTGAGCTTAATGTAAGCTCTCCTCTTTCGCTGCGAAGGCAGAACACAAACAGAAGCGTGGGGCCGCGGGTGGCGGTGTGTTGCGGCGGGTGGCGTTTCATTGTAAAACGCTGTAATCTAAGTGGAACAGATGTAGAAGGCGAGGGAAGCTTTGATAGATGGAGAAATTAGGCTTCGGGAGGCTTTTAGAAGCACTAAGCCTTGAGTGGGGAACAGCGTGCCGTCAGCAAAGTTGCACAAAAGCGCTCGATCCATCTGTCTCGTGAGGCGGCTGTCTTTTTAAAACAGCTCTTTTCTGCGCGTGTGAAGGAGAACGGAGTGAAGTGTGCTCTCGTTCTCCTCTCCACACCTCTTTCTGTTTCGAGACCGCTGAAGACAAAAGCTGCATGTTTCACATTAGCTTTAATAGCAGGCCGTCGAGGGCGGGGACTGGGGGTGCTGAGGGGGCTGTAGTTCCCCCAGAGACCGAGAGCTGAACTGCTAACTTAAAGAGGAACTTTGTTGATTTTTCCAATTTTCTGCATAAATAAACGATTAAAATGTAAACAGAGTCGTTCAGAGTGGTTTGGTGTGAAACGCTCTGTTCTAGAGAAACTTACTGAGTCAGAACTGTTCACAGTGGTGGTGATAGGAACCAGATGTCCACCTCTAAAAGCTCCCTCACAGAAAGTTACTACATGAAATGCCTGAGACATTGTTTTACGGTAGTTTTGTGAGAAGGTTTTTGCTCTAAAACACATTTTAATCATTTTATTTACACCATGTTCCAAATTATTATGCAAATTGGATTTAAGTGTCATAAAGATTCAATTTTTTGTTTTTCAATTAAACTCATGGACGGTATTGTGTCTCAGGGCTCTTTGGATCACTGAAATCAATCTCAGACACCTGTGATAATTAGTTTGCCAGGTGAGCCCAATTAAAGGAAAACTACTTAAGAAGGACGTTCCACATTATTAAGCAGGCCACAGGTTTCAAGCAATATGGGAAAGAAAAAGGATCTCTCTCCGAAAAGCGTCAAATAGTGCAATGCCTTGGACAGGGTATGAAAACATTAGATATTTCATGAAAACTTAAGCGTGATCAGATTTGTGGCTGATTCAGAGCACAGACGGGTTTGTGCAGATATATGAGGAAGGTTTCTGCCAGACAAATTCATCAGAGTAAGAGAGCAGCTGCTAAAATGCCATTACAAAGCAGCAAACAGGTATTTGAAGCTGCTGGTGCCTCTGGAGTCCCACGAACCTCAAGGTGTAGGATCCTCCGGAGGCTTGGAGTTGTGCATAAACCTACTATTCGGCCACCCCTGACCAGTGCTCGCAAGCAGAAACGGTTGCAGTGGGCCCAGACATACATGAAGACTAATTTTCAAACAGTCTTGTTTACTGATGAGTGCCGTGCAACCCTGGATGGTCCAGATGGATGGAGTAGTGGATGGTTGGTGGATGGCCACCATGTCCCAACAAGGCTGCGACGTCAGCAAGGAGGTGGCGGAGTCATGTTTTGGGCCGGAATCATGGGGAGAGTGTGAAAATGACCTCGTATGTAGAGTTTCTGACTGACCACTTTCTTCCATGGTACGAAAAGAAGAACCGTGGCAAAATCATCTTCATGCATGACAATGCACCATCTCATGCTGCAAAGAATACCTCTGTGTCATTGGCTGCTGTGGGCATAAAAGGAGAGAAACATGGTGTGGCCACCATCCTCCCCTGACCTCAACCCTATTGAGAACCTTTGGAGTATCCTCAAGCAAAAGATCTATGAGGGTGGGAGTCCCTTCACATCAAAATAGCAGCTCTGGGAGGCTGTTCTGACATCCTGCACAGAAATTCAAACAGAAACTCTCCAAAAACTCACAAGTTCAATGGATGCAAGAATTGTGAATATCAAAGAAGGGGTCCTATGTTAAAATGTAACTTGGCCTGTTAATTTGTTTTTGATTGAAATAGCTTTTGATTTCAGTAAATGTAACCTTTTAATGCTGCAAATTCAACAAATGACCATTTTCAGTTCTTTACAACCTGTAAAATGTTTTGAAACTGTTGTGCATAATAATTTGGAACAGTGCTCTTTGAGTTTTTTTATTTTTGAAAAAAATACTGTTATCATTGGGAGGTTTGTTCAGTAAAATCCGATTTATACTCGGTTGATCACTTTAAAATTATACTGACTGTCATTTGCATCGACCATTTAGGAAAATCAGAGAAAAATATCATTTGCATAATAATTTGGAATGCAGTGTAATCCATTCATGGTGGAGGGATACAGGAAGGGTGTTCTAAGGCTAAAAAATCCCCAAAGAAAACTTCATCAACTTCATCATCAACATTCCATATAGACTCAGAAGACTCGTGTAGGTTCACTGGTGGTTCTGGATAGTAAATAAAATGTCTATATTTGTGTTGTAGTCATGGCGACCCCTGGTTCCTATCACCACCACTGTAAAGACATCTGAACCGTTTCACACCAAACCACTCTGAATCTCTTTGATTACATCTCAACACTGAATTATGCAAAAATGTTGAAAATTCGGTGGAGTTATTACACTGAACTATTACACTTTAATAAACTCAAATTCTCTCAACATTTTGACATAGAATTTAAAAATAATTATAATTCTCAAAATACTGACTTAGAATCTAAAAAGAATGACTTATCTTCTCAAAAGAATGACTACATATTTTAAAGTAATGGCACTTTCCCACAATTTTGTAAATTATTATGTGATTATTAATTGTGATAAATGTAATTATTAATTGTTAAAATGTCATTTTTCAAGATACTAAATCAAAATCTTGACATACTGCTACTAAAAACTGCTATAATTTTGAAAATCATATATGTGTGTGTGTGTGTGTGGGTGGGTGTGTGTGTGGGTGTGTGTGTGTGGTTCTTTCAAAAAGCAGTCCAAGCTGAAACACTCCCTACAACTTGAGTGGGCGGGGCTAAATTGCTGTAGGCTGAATAGAAGGAGATATGTAAATGAGATTGTTTTGTCTATAAAAAACCATGAACACTCAGAACACTTTGCATAAATAAAGGGTTCTTTGCATCATGAAAAGTTGTAGAATGTGTTGTACAGGGTTCTATATAGAACCTTTTTAAAAAAGGTTCTATGTAGCACCCAAAATGGTACTCGTAACAGTAGAAGAACCCTTTTGGATGCTAAAATGGTTCTTCAGATTGATGGAGACTGTGCTCTAGATGGTTCAATATAGAACCTTCTTATGATGCAAAGAACCCTTTATTCATGCAAAGGGTTCTTTGAGTGTTCATGGTTCTTTATAGAACCTTTTTTTTTAGTAAACAACCCTTGCAGAATCATCTTTTTTTAAGAGTGTAGCCAACAGTTTAGGCCCCACCCATTCACACTGACTGCTTTTCGAATGAGGCAGCCAATCAGAACAGAGCCAATTTACATATATCAGTTTTAAAGGCACAGTAAGAAAATTCAAAGGGATGAAGAGAGTTTGGAAAATGGTCATGGAGACATGAATTATGGCTATTTTTAGTACATAAAAGTAGTCATAAATGTGATAAAATGCAGGATATGGGCTCTTTAATGTTCAGCTTCAGAGACAAAAGCTAACTGCAGTGTCTAAAGTGTGTATTCCTGTGTGTGTTTATGCTGTAAGTGAGAATCCACTGTTTTGGCTGGAAGTGCTCAGGAGACTTTCAGTTACCTTCTATAGAGGCTCAGTTACTGCACCGTCCTCACACACACACACACTCTTAAACACACACACACACACACACACACACACACACACACACACACACACTCTGTATTAAGCCTCTACGTGGGTCCGCACTTCACGGTATCAGCACCTCCAGGCATGGATTACGCGGCGCTCAAGCCCAAATCGTAATTAAAAGCTTAGCTTAGCATTAATGCGGAGGAGAGGAGGTGTGAGGGAGAAGGATCTCTCGCTCGTAGCTCGCTGTGTGTGTGCGCTGTAAAAGAGCTCTCACCGTTCAGGAAGAGCCACTGCACCCTCAAGTGCTCCTGCCAGTTTCAGCAGCAGCTCGGCTTTAAAGTCGCCGGTTCAAATCCTGCGTGAAAAGAAGAGGATACCTTACGTAGCGGTAGCTTTAGCATATCTAATAGCGCATTAAAGGTAATAGTGACTCATTACCAGGATGGAAATGAGATCAAGCTAACTGCTGCCCATTAGACTACATTTACTGTTAGCCACGTTGGCATTTTTGAAAGCCTTTTTCCAAAGATTGGATCAACTGTAAGAGTCCTAATTGACCCCTTTTACATTTATGCATTGCCACGTCTGCTGGTTTCTGTAAGCAGGTGAAGTTTTAAGGCTTTTCCTTGGGTCTACAAGCAAACCACACCTTACCTGAGACTCAAACAAGCACACATTATGGCCAAAAAGAAGACGATAGTATGTAAATATAAATATTTAAGCCACACTATGTCAGTTTCGGGGATTTGGAGACCTCTCTGGTGGAAATGTGTAACTGCATGCAATGTGTGGAACATTCTGTAGCGTGGGTTGTGCTTCGTCCTCCTTCCCTGACTGGGTGAATATGATGATTAAAAGAGAATTCAAAGAGAACTCAGTCTAAACTTGGTGAAGGAGCGTCTTCAGAGGTTGTGAGTGAATTATCTACTATTGTCATCACATCTTCATCAGTATGTGATTTTGAGATCATTTGAGATCCAAACATTGAGCCGGACCTTCTTTTTGAGTCTGTGTGTGAGGTTAATGCATAAAGACGTACGACGTGGTGTGAAAAACTCAACACCTCTGACTTTAAATGATCATTTCAGGCTTTACAGGGCGACTCGGAGCAGCGCACGCTCACCATATTTTAGCCTGTTGTTGTTCTGCTCACTCAGTAATGACACTTCTTTCAGTTTTAATTAAATAATCATGTATAGTTCAGCTTTATGAATCCTTGCTTTCAGCTCCAGCTGTCATTTTGGACCTCGTGATGCTGAAGGATAATATGTGAACACTTTGGTTTCAGTGACTAATAAACTCTCTTCCTCACAGAAGGGGCATCACGAGATCCGCGAGATCCGACAGTTTCATTTCACCAGCTGGCCCGATCACGGCGTCCCCTGCTACGCCACCGGCCTGCTCGGCTTCGTCCGCCAGGTCAAGTTCCTCAACCCTCCAGACGCCGGCCCGATAGTGGTCCACTGCAGGTACCACTCTCTCTCTGTGTCCCTCTCTGTCTGTCTCTCAGTTTTTCTGTTGCAGTCTGTGTGTTATGAAGTGATCAATACGAACCTGAATTCAAGCAGCTACACAATCTGATAACTGGTAACATCAGCTGCTTTTAATTTTATACTTCAATAGTTTTAAAGAGTACTTTACTGATTGACCATTAGCTATGAACTGTGAAATATGAACCTGGGGGCAGAAAATAATTTAGAATTTTAGTTTCTGTTCATTTTTCTTATTTTTTTAATAAGTTTTCTTCATAAAAGATTTTTTTTAATGATGTAATGTTCATACCATATATATATTCTTTTTACCATTTTATCCATGTTGATGTTTTGTGTTATATATATAGAGTGCGGCACGGTGGCGCAGTGGGTAGCGCTGTCGCCTCACAGCAAGAATGGCCTGGGTTCGATTCCCGGCTGGGCGACCAGGGTCCTTTCTGTGTGGAGTTTGCATGTTCTCCCCGTGTCTGCGTGGGTTTCCTCCGGGTACTCCGGTTTCCTCCCACGGTCCAAAGACATGCAGTCAGGCTGATTGGACATGCTGAATTGCCCCTAGGTGTGAGTGAGTGTGTGAATGTGTATGTCTGTCTGTCTGCCCTGCGATGGACTGGCGACCTGTCCAGGCTGGGATAGGCTCCAGCACCCCACCGCCACCCAGAAGGCTAAGCAGTTTAGATGATGTGTGTGTGTGTGTATATATATATATATATATATATAAATTAAACAAAACACTTCTCTGGGGCAGGACATGAGCTAGTGGGATGACAGACAGTAGCTATGTTCCAAATCCTATGCTGCAGCCGAAGTAGGGCGCGTCCTCGGTAGGACTGTCCTATGAAGACTCCTCCTTAGTAGTCTGTTAGTCACACAAATAGTCCTAACAAGGCTGAGTGGTGACGTTGCCAGAAAGCCCCCCGCCTCTTGCAATTGCGATGAGAAACTCATGAGGGAGCTGTCGAGAGAAAATGGAGCCTGTTGTGTTTGTTGCTTTTCATTTCTTCCCGGAAATGGAGGAGATGTTCTTATGTAGTACAATAAACTACACATACACAAATACTTCTGAATACAATATGATATATCGATGATATACGACATATGGACAAATGCTTTAATTAATCAGTCATTTTACACTTTATAAGGTAACGAAAACGAATTCAAGCATCCGAACAACTTACATTTTAAGACAAGCTCTGTTCTCACTCAGAAATCACGCAGAACATATGCTGCATTTCCAGGGTCCTTCTAGATTTTTTCAGTTTT